TTTTTTTTTTCAGAAATTTAACCTTTTCCTTTCTTTTTTCTTGTTTTTTTAGGAAACTCTTATTTTGGAATTAAAGATGGTTCCCATAATAATTTTTAAAATTTTTAACTAGTTGCAACTTAAGTTGCAATACTTTAAATTGCAACTATTTATGAATATTTATATTAAAATAAATTTACAAGGAGTTGCAACTTGGTTGCAACTTAATTATGGTATTTATCTTTATTTAGAATTAACGTAAATGAATCGGAAGTGATTTTTGTGGCATTTTCCTTTCTTTGTTCTTGTTTTTTAGGAAACTCTTATTTTGGGAATTAAGATAAGCAAATTGGAAGTAACTTTTAGAGGTTTTTAACTTTTTTTTAGGAAATTTCTCTTTTCGAAACTAAGGTAAGCCTTTCGGAAAGTACTTTTGGATGGTTTTTAACCTTTTTTTCTTTATTTTTCTTTACTTACTTTAGGAATATATTAAGGTAAGCCTTTCAGAAGTGGTATTTTGGTGAGTTTCTAACTGTTTTCTTTATTTTTCTTATTTTTAAAAAATCAAATGTATCTTTTTTGAATAAAATACTATATAATATATATTCTTTTTAAGTAATTTATTATGTAATAAAAATTAAAATTATAATTATAAATAAACAAAAATGAGTTTATTAGTTTCGATTTGCTTAATTATTTTTGCTGATTAGTGACTGATTTTAAGCTGATTTATGCTGAATTTTGACCAATTTTTAACATAAATACTGATTGGTAGCCAATTTTTATTTATTCAAAATACCGATTTTTTGGTAATGATTGGCAGAATTAAACTATATTTTGGCTAACTTTTAGCACTTTAAATGTGACGAATTGTATTATTTTTCCTAATGATATATCAAATAACTAACAATCGTTAATGTCAAATGTATTTTTGTGTGGCACCTGAATTGAATCACATCAGCTATAACTAAAAATGCTGATTGTTTTAGCAATGATCAGCAGAAATTATATTAAATTTTGTCCAACATTCGGCATTTTAAAAAAGTGACAAAATGGATTATTTCAACTAGTAATAGATCAATTAACCAAAATCTAACTTATAATAGTATATATGTTCACATGTTCAGTTACAAAGAAATTCCTTATATAAAATTATCTAGTTTTATGTATTACATGATATATGAACTATAGCCTATTACTTTATAATAAAGCTTATAGCTTAATAGGAATTTGCGTCTTAACCACTGAGTAATAAGTGCTAGTCCTCCTTTTCTCATCATATTTACATATCATTATTTTATTATTAACACTTTTAACTTTCATTATTACTATAAGTTCTATATTTTCACAATATATTCCTTTGTAATCTTTTTTATTTTATTATAATATCTCATCAATTTTAATGTTTTACTAAACCTTCACAACTCTATTATTGTGAATTTTACACTGGTTGAAATTAAAAAAATCAGACGTGTGATAAATACTTCATCAATTATCTGTCAATTGAACATAATCATCAATCGGTAATAAATTAATCTAAATCAAACTATTTGATTTATAATTGATTGGAGTTAAGCCATAATTTCAATTCTAATTGATCAATAAAAATTGTCTAATTAGAAATTTTATTTCAAAGGAATGATAGAAATTGTTCTTAAGAGACAATATAATCATTCCTAAGAAATGATCATTCTACTTGTAATGATATCTTCTTATTCAATAAGAATGATTTAAAAAAATTGTCACTTTGAGAAAATGTAATTGTATTTTTATTGAAAGATCAGAAGCTTATTCTTTTGATATAATATATAATTGTTCAATAAGATCAATTTATAAAATTATCCTAAAGGGATGATAAATATCATTCTTATTAAACAATCAAAAAATTATTCTTTTAAAATGATACATTATTATTCAATAAAAAAGATATATATAATTATCCTAAAGGAATGATACATATTATTTTTATTAAATGATCAAAAATCATTCTTTTAAGATAATATATAATCGTTCAATAAGAACAATTAAAAAAATCATTTCTTTTGAATAATAGATCATTATTCTTATTAAACAATCAAAAAAATTATTTAAAGAAACAATAAATCATTGTTTAATAAGAATGATTTATAAAATTATTTCAAAAGAATAATAAATCTATTATTCAATAAGAACAATTAAAAAAAATAACCCTTAGGGACTATAAATTATTGTTATTATTGAACAATTAAAAATCGTCACTTTAGGATAATATACTAAATCTTTCAAAAATAAGCAACCCCTGAAAATAAGCAACATTCAAATTAGTTAATATTTAAAAATAAGCAATATTCTGTTAAAAAAATATAATATTATACAAATAATATAAATAATATTTAAATAATAAATAAATGCTGTAAATAATTCAAATAATTCAAATAAATGCATTTTATTAATAAATTATTTGTTGAGTAACCAAAATCAATTATTTTAATATATAATATAGTATTATAATAATTGACAAAATTAATTACTGATATTATCATTATCAATTTTATCTCCATCATCATCATCGATAGTATTATCATCACTATTAATAATATTATCATTATCTTTATCATTATAATTATCATTGCTTAATCAGAATTAATATAAAACAGCCATAAATTAATTATCAATCATCTATCAATCATCTGTCTGATTTTTAGCTGATTTATACCCATTTTGACTAGTGATAAAAGAATGAATTTTTGCTTAAATATTTTGTAAATTTTCATTTATAAAGTTTTTATTAATATTAGCAAATTTTATAATCTTTTTGGAATATTGTAAGTTTTAGTTTTTAGTAATAAGAAAAGACCAATCAACAACTATCCTCAAAAAATAGTGTGACTGAAACAGTTTCTTTTAATATATATTGTAGCTAAATTTATTTTAAAGATAAAAGACATTTTACATCTAATTTATGATTATAAGCTTTAAGAATATTATTATTTAAAAATTATTTCTTTTTAACACTTTGAAATCTAATTATAAAAGGATTAATTCACTATCATTTTTCTTACTAAAACATTATTTTGACTTTTTGTAAAGAAAGTGATCAAGAGTATTATAATTTCCAAATAATTATTTATAAATTCCAAAAGAAATTTCACTATAAAGTGATTAACCAGTATGATGAATTTTTTTTTCAAAATCAATGATAAATTTAAATGCTATTATTTTGTGATTAAACAAACTATTGACTGATGATTATATTTATTTTTTTGAATATATAGACCCCAGCTAAAAGTTTCAGACTCTAATTTTGACATTGTATTACTCAAGAAGTACCGATCAGAATTAGTTTAAAATTTGAAATAACTTTGTTATAATCTTACTTAATAATATATCAAAATTTCATTCAATTTGAATCGGTAGAAACTGATATTTATGTAAATGTAAATACATAAATACTTTGATTTAAAACTTTAGTTAAAGTTTTTAAAAGAATATTAAATAAATTTTCTAAATATCTAATGATTTAAATTAAATAAAAATTCTAATATCAAATAAATCAATATATTATTTATAAAATATCAAAATTTGAGCTGATTTGGATTTCTTAATTTTGAGATAATTAATATACAATATTATGTTTTAAAACTCTAATATTTATTGTTATTATAAAATATTATTTGCATCAAATATATATATATTTTTTCAACATTTAGTAATCTAAATTATTTCAAATTTTGATATTTTGGAATTTATATATTTATTTATTATATATTAAAATTTTATTTAATTTTAATCATTAGATATTTAGAAAATATCTTAATTTGTTTTTTAAAAAATCTATAATTTAAATTATTTGTATATTGTTATATCTCAGCTTCTTGTAATTTAAATTAAGTAAAAATATGATATATTATTGAGTGAGATTATAATCAAAGTTATATCAAATTTTTTCTGATCGGCACATCTTAAGAAATAAAGTGTCTAAAGTGTCCAGAAACTTTTGGCTGGGGTCTGGTTTTATACTTTAAATGCTAGAAGTTGCAATATCTTTTACAATTTCACTACATTGCGAACGAGTAATAGGTTTACTGTTTATTCTAAATTTCTTATTGTAGTGGTTTAATAACATATTACTTTAAGTTCAAAACTTGAGAAAAAAAAATAATTTAAAATTTATCTTAAAATGATTCTTTTAAAATTACCAGTTCTGCTTTATTCTAATTGTCCACAACTATATTATCTTTTTTTGATATGATACATTGTCTCATTTTCAATTATTTTTATATTTCCAATTCGACGTTTATTGCTCTATTTCTAAATTCGCCCATTATTGCTTTGAACAAAATTCTAACTTTTTTCCATATTAATTTTATTTCTTTCAATAATGCAACATCAAAATTTCTTCGACAACAAATTAACACAGAACTTATGTTATGTGGAACTTTTTGACGATTTGTGATGATTCACAATTCCAATTTAACTAAATTTGCAAATTTAAAGGGCTTTAACAGAAATTTGGATATAATTCTAAATTTAAAACAAATAGATGTATTAAAAAAAATATACTGAAGGGTACAAATTAATTATATATTAGAAAAACAAAATAATTTTTGGGGTGAAAATCATAAGCACACATTACCTAACGGGATCACCTCCTTCAATATAAATTTTTTCAGGAGAAAGGAGACTCAGAAGTCAACTAACTATTATTGTTAATCTTTTAGAATCTGAGAAAAAAGTGTCGCACATGCATACATGCATTTTGGAGACAATTCAAAGTGTTTATTTAGGTGAATATCCTTAGTGGTCATTTTGGAGTATCCATGATCTGCGCATTTGGGATACCCATGTCCGAAACGATCTTCGCATTTGGACTCAACCAATTTGGTATATCCGAAATGCATTTGGATTATATTCCATGTCACGTGACTTGAATTCCAAATTTTTTAAAATCTCTGTAGGTCAAAATTTTATTATAAATTGAGGAGCTTGAGTCGTATGTTGAAATATTAATTTATATAAAAAAGTAATATTTATTAATTACGATGTTCGTACGTAAATTACAAAATTTAGGATTTTTGATAATTTTATTATCTGTTATCAATACTTCCTCTCATCCATATCCTATACAAGAAGAAACGATTCGTACATATCCTGTACATAGAGTATCGTTTAATCCACGAGGATATACGGCAAATAAAATATGCATTCATTGGTACGATTATACTCAACAAGAGAAATTGACTGAATGTGACATATCATATAAAAAACCAACATCAAAGAATTCTCCGGATTGGTCAATAGGATATAAACTCTCTATTCATACAGATGGTGGTACATTCCATGAAGGACCATTTTTATGGTGGGATGGCTGGGTAAATGAAATATATTGTAACGATATACATATTCATTTAATAAGCGGTGGTTTGCGTATTAAACTTTCTTTTAAATTGGATATAGCTTACGATAAATGTTTCTGGTATAAATAAATCAGATATTATTTTTGAAGGTATTGCACAGAAGTTTTTGCTCAAGTACGTTATTAAAGTCGAGATAACAGAAGGCATTTTTCTTATTAAGTAAAAAGACAAATAATTTTTCATTACCTTAATAAATAATTTTTTTCGCCAAAAAAAATCAATATTGATCATTTGCACATTTTCTTTTTTTAATTTAATTTAAAAATAAAATAATGAAGTTTGAAACTTAATTCTTGTCAATTTTTGGCATAAGTCTCGTTCTGTAGAATTTCCACATAAAATTACCTGTCATTATCGTTTGTAAACAAAATAAAGATGATTTTAGTTCGACCTTTTGGCATTCATCTATCTGGTCCTACATCTTCGTTGAATTGTTGTTTTGTCTGTAAATAAACCATGGTACATTCAACAGCTCTTCCTTGTAAACCTGGTGTGGTTTTTGTTAGACTTTTTTTATATCCAGCACTTGTCATATGTTTGAAATTGTTGAGCAATGGAGCTGTACTCCTTTTTGTGATATTTTATTGGAAATAATTTTGAATGTTAACGAATATTTCATTGTTTTTATCTTTTTTGGTCGTCCGTTTACGATTGAGATTTTCTTTACTATTAAAGTAATTTTCGGGATTGTATAAAGAAATATTTTTGAACATGCCATGGGAAAGAGGTGATCAAAATTACTATAATAAAGTTTTCTCAATAGTTAAACCATATGATTTCTAATTAAAATGAACAAGACTTGATACATGGAGAGGAAATAAATATGTATACTCACATATTTTATATTTTTTATAATTATCGCATTTTTTTGTTGTGAAATTCTTAATTTAGGTAGAAATTTAATAATTGCTGGAGTTAAAGATTTTTATTTAGCAATTATAATTAATAGCGGACAAATTTATGTCAACATTCCTATAAGCTTCATAGTAATATAAAAACTTTACTAATTAAAATAATTAATACCGTTTTTTAATTATTTCCTACTTTTCACTTACGTATTGCAATAGGTTCTTTGATCAAATAATTTGTAAAGTCTATTTAATAATAATATAATTACTATTATTTTAGCATTTTTTCTTCATACCGCGCTCTTTGAATAATGAATGAATGTATTATTTAATTAAAATTTTTTTTTGGTTTTCGGGTTCAACTTGCCGCAGATAAGTTTTTTTTTTTTAAAGTATATTATTTTTTTGTTTTTGTTTTGTTAATTTGCTTATCTGTTCACTATTATTTTAGGTTTTCGATCATCTTAATGTTTTCCCTGAAACATTTTGAAAATTTTTCTTTTATGATCCATCAGCTGACGAAATTAGTTTGAAATGTCACTATATCCGAGCATTGTATTATTAAGAGAGCTATTGTGTAGGAACCAGGCATCTAAATTTTATTAAATTATAAAATGTGGGTTGTTTAATTAGAGTAAATTTATTTACGTGATCATCACAGACGCAAAAAATGAAGTTTGCAGAGTTTTTATGTAGACATCAGGACATCTTTTCATTTAAAAAATTTAATCATCATTCGCCGTGATGTCTTTCAGAAGATCTATCAGATATCTTTGAATTATCGTGTAAATTTTTCCTTCTCATTTGTTCAATATAAAATATTTTTTTATTTTTGAAAAAATAACTAATTTTTAAAATTTAACAAAGTAAGCTATAAATTTATTAAATATAATTACAAATCTACTAAAGAAAGATCTATTTCTTTACTAAACTATTTTTTTTATTATCATAAACAAATAACAAATTACATTTTATATTATTTTGACGGTGTCGAAATTTATTCGTACCAAAAAATAAAATAAAATGTAATTAAATAATATTTATGTTTAATATACAACAAATTGATTGATTGCATAAAAATCGAATATTATAAATAAACTTTATTAATTATATATCATACATAAATTAGAATCACAATAATTTTTAAATAACAATATATAAATAAGTTCTATTCTATTAGATCAAGTTTATTTTCATATCGAATATCTCATTCATACAAAGTTTTGCAAAATATTGAAATTCAAAATTTCATTCATATATAATTTTTGAATAATCATTGATATTGAAATGAAATAATTTGAGCAAAAAAAAAGCATAATATTTCAATATTCACTATTCCTTCGAAATGTCAATTCCAAAACCAAATCTAAATTATTTAACAAACCATGAATGAATTGTACAATATTAATATTAATATTTATTAATATTGAAAAAATTAAATAACAATAAATCAACTCACAAGATATAATTGTTGATGTATCGATCGCAGGACGTTAATGTATCTAGAACGCCATCATTATTCAAAATATATAAGTAATTCCTTGTTCTTATTTATATTCCAATAACTTAAACGTCCAATCATTAATCATCTGAATAAATCTCCAATAGCAAATAAATCACATAGTATCCTTTTTTTTCAATTCAACTCAATCAATAACCAACGTATGAATTAGAAAATTATAGAACATATGAGAAGGCAATAAAAGCAAAAAATCAAACCGCTTTTCCTGCTTCAATTCCAATATTCAATTTAATAATCAAAATCATACATTCAATTATAAATTAATTAGTAAATGCTTGATGATAAAAGAAAACAAACAAATAATGAAAAATAAAACCCTGATCCTTCCAACTTGAATTCCATAATATATCCAGTCTCATTTCCTTTTAATAATTTACATATACCCTAAATTTTTCAAAATAAACTAAATTATACTCTATAAAATGTATCTGAATCGTCATCATCGTACATATAATTTTAAACAGCATTTTCATCTTCAAGTTCCGTTAAATAAAATAAATCATATCCTCTATAATATATATTGGCATCAATTGCAAATTGCATTCCACCATTTAATTACCGAGTTATAATCTTTTTAAATTAGTTGCCATTTAAGTTCATTACCTGACTTTTACTGTTTGAAGATTTATACCAGTATAACATTTATTACGTTTACGATATTGATAATTTACATTTTGGGGAATAAAAACCATCCCAAAACTTCACATTATACCTTTAATTTTTATTTTAATAAATAATTGCATACGTGTTTAAATTATCCCTGTAAAAAGTTGATCCGTGTTTTGTTTTCCATAATTTTTCTGTGAAGGACGGATATTTTACGCAAGCTACGAAGAAATCATGGAAACTAAGATTAGCATTTTGTTAATGTTTTGTTTAATTATATTTTCGTAAATACTTAATAATCCTCCTTGATGAACAGCCAGTTAATTATATAAAAATATAATATAAAATTATTAATTCACATTCTATAAATTTTATTTAACAAGGTTCTTTTATTATGAAATTGATCAATTAATGAAGCTGTTGAGGATCTATTAAAATAACAGAATTTATTTTTCGTTAATTTGTATTTTCGAATGGATGCTGGGATAATAATTTCAAGTAAAATGTTCTTATACGAAGTCTAAGATGTTTATGTAACATTCTTATTATATTTCTAAATATTTTTTTTTTAAAAAGAAATTAGAACGTATATCAAAATATCAAATGATAAATACAAATAAATTATTGTAGATTTCTTAGTTTATAATGTTCAAGGAATATCTCTCGAAAGATTTAAAATATTACTGAGTATAGAGTTATATATTAATGGTTTTAATACTTTGTGATATATCTCTATTTTTTTTACTTGAGGAACAGTACTACTTTAGAGAGATCACCAATCTTCAGTACCCTCAGCTGGGGAGCGCTTATAAAAAAATTTTCTATTCTTGGTAATCACAAATTTAAGATCCTAATGTTTGAAACGTTTTAAAAAATGAAACAAATTACGTTTAAAAATTGAATTGATAATATTAATCTTTAAAATAAATTAATTACCACTTGTGAAGTCTGTAGCGATACACAAAACTACTCAATTCATTAGAATAAAAAACAAGAAAATTTTATTATATTTTGTATTTTGACTTGCTTTCCTTACACATATTTTCTGGATCATGTGATTAGCAAATTTATTCACGTAATACAGATGATCACATCACAGATACTTTATAACCCACTTTCTCTAACTTGTAAAAACTTTCTTAAACTTATTTTTTCTTAAAAAAGTGAAAGCGTAACTATGAAGAAGGAACCGTTTGTGAATTTTTTAACTTTTTATTTACCAATCAACAAATCTATTCAACTACTTTAACGATTTATGAAATACGTGTGATGCACCTGACACACCTGACACTTGATTTTAGTATTAGACAGTAAGTTGTAACTTTCATTTTAGAGTTATGGAATAAATATGTGGAAACTGTTCTTTGTCTCTAGTAATCGTCATATTCTTATTAATTATTTTATCATAAAAGGAAAATTATGATATATGAAGGCGAGGATAGGGCTTTTGATATAGATATATTAAGAAACGTCGGATATATTTAATGTATAGAGCGTTCCATGTTGAAGACTAAACGTAATACTTGGTGCATGTCGGTAATCCCTCGGGCTTTGATTTAGTACTCCTCGGTGCATTACCAGTGTCTCAAGCCATAGACAAAATTAGGAACCTGGCCAGGCTACCGTTGATCGGTTTTCACGTCATCCTCTGTCTCAGGGACCTAGGGACCTCCGTTGGTTTTAATGCTTAAATTCCTAGTACGTAAATCTGTGACTAGTTTGCCTAGTGCAGATATGATGACATGGCACTAAGCAGGAAGAAGAATTCCCCCGTATAACGCTAACTCTAGTTAATTAGAAAACAGAATAGTATAATTTAAATAATAGGACATCATAATTACATTTGGTTAGTTCAAATGATTATCAACTAAAAAAAGTATTTGATTATATCCCAATTTGGTTAGTTAAATAATCAACAATTATTAATTATTTTGAAATATTATATTTTAAAAATATTTTCTTGCTTTATATTTTTTTTTATTAATTTCAATTAATAATGACATTTTGTTATAATATTTTGAAATATAAACTATACATAGTATTAATTTTTTTTAACTATTTTCATATGATAGAGATAGAGTATACAGTATATTTGATTTGTAAATCATTTTTAACTTAATAAATCGCCATATAATATTAAAAATTTTAACTTTTTACATGAATATATTTATAACGAATCATTTAATTGTTTTATTTTTATAGTTCTCTAGAAAATATGTTGTTAAAATAATAATATACTGTAAATACGCGATTTTATTACTAATAATCACTTTTTGGGAAAATTAATAACAAATTTCTACTAGATTGAATTAAGTCTAGCTCTTGCAAGAAATGACTGGTTGCATGATAAACATCAAGATTAAATTTCCTTTTTTAAGATGATGATTCTCCAACTTTAGCATAGATTTACTTATTACAAATACACTTTCCATTGTCTTCAAATTAAGCTTTTCCATATCAATACGATCAGCAGGCAACAATTCTTTTAGTGTTGTAAATATACAGTACATAAATTTTATGTATATATTTTTTCAGGAGAATGAGATTTCGAGGTTAACGTAACGATAAATTTTAAAGATAAGCAAATTTTAAAAGAACAAAATCGAATGATCGACAAAATTATCAGCCTATTTACATGATGGTAATAATTTGGATCTGCCTTTAACCGATAATATTGTTCTGTATATAAGTAAGAACGGCAGTAATTTTAGGAATATACATTTATTTATTTTCAAATTAATAAATTTATAATTGAGATTATGACTTGCAAGAAATATGTATTTCTTTTCTTCATATTAAGCTATCTGAACTTTAGAGTTGAGCCACTTAAACCTTTAGGACGTTTAGCTCATTCTACTGTCCTTGTTGAAAATAAGATTTATTTTTTTGGCGGGTTTACTGATGGTGGTTGCTCAAATGAAGTTTTTTATCTTGATTTATCTAAACAATTTAATGTGGAGGTTCCACTATGGACCAACATTACATTAAAGACAGGATTAAAATTTTCAAATTGTTGGGCATCAGCAGCAATAACTAATAATAATAATCCAAGTATTTATCTAATTGGAGGATTATTTGAAACTACGACGTCTAGATTATCTACGCTGGCATTTGATCTAAAAACAGGACATTTAAACAAACCTTTAATTAAAGGAAAGATGCCAAAACAACGGTTGGAATTTCAAGTAGTTGCTGATGATTTTGGAAACATTTATGTTTTCGGTGGATTTTTATTAAATTCATTAACAAATGAGATGGCAATATTAAATACTAAAGAGATAAGATGGATATATAGCCCTGTACTTAATGAACCCACACCGCGAGCCGACTTTACTGCAACAATATTATCATCTGGTGTTATTGTATATATCGGAGGTCGCGAATTTACCAATAATAGCATTACAAGTATGATAGATATTAACCACATACTCCTTTATAATACCAAATTATCATCTTGGTCGGAAGTGGTAAGTACTTATATTATTACAAACTACTATGTGAATTATATATTTATAAATTTTCATTAATTTATTAAGCCAGCGAAAAGTAATAAAAGTAAGGTTCAAATTGACTCTCGCTTTTTACACTCGGCTGTACTAGGTATTTTATCTTTTTTTTTTTATTAATGAAATAGTTTATAAATATACAATAATTAGTTTATATTAGCTCCTGATGGAAGTATCATAATTTATGGAGGTGCGAAAGATACTGTTGAATCAAGGAATGTCAAAGTTTTTCCAGACTTGGCAGTTTTAAATACACAAACGTTTGAATGGACTGTTCCGAATGTAACTAAACTTGGTGAAGTTCCATCACTCACATCTCACACAGCAAATTTATATGGAAATTACATGATTGTTGCTTTTGGTGAATATATATATAAATATACTAGCATAATATTTTTTAATTTGCATTGTAATTTTTAAAGATTAAGTATTAACTATATTGGATTATAGGAAATATTACGCAAGAAAATACTCCTCCGTCAGGATCAAATTCAAGAATTTATTTGTTAGATACTAGAAGTTATACTTGGGTCGATAAATTTGAACCCGAATCTGCACCAATGAATGAAACACTATCATATCCTACGCAAGATCATGAAAATAAAAAAAATAATAAGCAAATAATAATTGGTACAATAAGTGGAATTTTAGGCGTCACAATTTTCCTTGCAATTGGAATCTTTAGTTATAAACGGTATCGAAGAAGAAAAAACGTTGTCTTTAGAATTTCAGGCAATATATAATTATAATTGGCTTCAAATAATTTATATGATTGAATTAGATTTAGACACCCTGTTTACGATTACTTTCTTTAATTTCTGTTATCATAGATAGTTTAATAGTTGAAAATTAATTGCCTGAATCATAGACAAATCGTAACATATGTATATAATATGAATTTTTAAGATTATTTAAATTCATCTTTTCTTTTAATAAGAATATTGAATAAATTAAGGTATTTAAGTCATTCAAATAATTAAAACAGCCTGGTTATTGATTTTTACAATGCTTAATGACAACTTCTAGATGATTCACAAAAGTATTCACGCTTCAAGCCTTACATTTAAAAAAAGAATCCATATAATAAATATATCAAAAATATCCAATCGAAAATATTGCTATGCCAAGTTAATTAAAACTTTACCAAGAATAGCTCTGTTTATTCATTATTTATGAAATTGGATATTGATCAATGATCTGAACTTTTCGAACAATAAAAAAAATGTAATGCTTTAATTCTTGAATTTTGATTACATATTCAATATTTACTGCGGACAAATGGTCTTCGTTAAGACCAACAACATTAGTTTAAAATTCATTAAATATATTAATTAATTGGTATTATGACTTACAAGCTGTTCTGTTGTGGAAATATATATAATTTTGGATGTTAATGTATCTCCAAATTTGACAGTTTTAAATTCTCAATAATTCCATTTAGATGGACTGTACCGCAAGTATCGTCAAATATTATAAGTTTCATCGCTTACATCTCATCAAGCAAATTTAATTGACATGATTGTTGCCCTTGAGAAATAGTTAATTTTAAAATATTTAAAATATTTATTTTTAATTTTATAAACATTTATTATTAACTGTTTTGGAATATAGGAAATATTACCCAATCAAACATTACACCGTCATGAATAAATTCAAGTATTTATTAGTTAAAAACTAGAAACAATACGGGTCAAAAATTTGACTCCATCAGATGAAACGCCATCAAATTGTACTTCTAAAACTATAACTTCTAAAACTACAAACCTTTCAGAAAATAAATTAAGTAAAGAAATGAAAGTTATAATTGGAGCTGTATGTGGAACTTCGGCGTCATAATTTTACAGCATTTGGAATTATAAGTTCTAAATGGTATCAAAAAAAGAAGCATGATGAAAATTATAAAGATTACGGGCAATTTTCGTTCGATAAATGTTTGAAAATTCAAGTTTATTTACAGTAAAAATATATTTTAGTTGCTATTAACGTTGCCTTAATAATAAAAACAAATTATAAAATTAAAATATGTTTATTTTTAGATTTTATAAATTAAAACTAAAGAAATAATTACTTTGAAGGATATCCAAAAATGTTATAACAAATTACCCAATCCCCCCAAACAACGTGTCTTTAACTGCAGATATCGATAATATATTTTATATTTTATGGATATTTGTATGATGTATTGTTTACATTGGCTAACGATACAAAGTGACGTTAACCAATGTAAATAATCACCGGAAATATCTATATTATCGTACGCTAAAGTAAGTCATACTCAAAATCTCTGAAATTTATTCCTAGTTAATATATTAGTAATAATTTTCTAATACTTTCTCTGTGAACAACACCAGGCTAAGAAAAAAATCTTCGATGTTGCCGAGACATTTTACATTTTAGTTTAAGGTATAAATTAATAAATTTAAAAAAAAATGAATAATTACTAACTTTGTATTCTCAATTTATTATTTGTTATTATGAATCACTCACTATCAAATTTTCTAAGTGAGAAATGAAATTATAAAAGTCATCATAAGTGAAATTTCCGATTATACAATTCTTCAAACATTTGGATTTTTAGAGTTATAACTGGCATCAAAAAAAGAAATCATATTAAAGGTCATTGATTTTTATTCTACTTGATCAAGCTTAATTCTGTATAATTTTTATTTTATTTGGGACATGAGGTAATGGATTCCTTTTATTTAATAATAATCTTTGTCGGTTATTTAACCAGAGGGAAAAATTTAAGAAATGCATACTAATAAATTATTAAATATATTATGAAAATATCAAATATCAAATATAATAATAAAATATGATAAACTATACAAATTAAACGAGATAAAAAAATTTAAAGTTTAGCATATTTGCTCTCTTCTCAGAAATCACGAAAATAAAGTGATCACTTGAATCGTAATATGATTGGAACTGTTTACGGCGTGCTGCACGTTGTTAGCTTAAACGGTTCGTCGTTAAGTTAACTAAGATTATTTGCTAACAGGGAGTTTAAGTGCGTCTAAACTATGGAAGAAATAAACATGGATTAATTATGTTGAAGGGTCAGGTCGTCTTTATCGATATAGATTTAAAGA